GTACTAGATTGAAGATCACAGCTAGTTTTAGCTTCTATATTTAGTTATAATCGGCTGCATTTGAAATTGAATGGTTTTTGGTGGGTAGAAATGGCGGTCAATACGACGATGGTGGCTGGCTGTTCGACCGCAATGAAAGCAACGTCGAACGGCGTGTTTCAAGGCGACAACCCTCTTGATTTCGCTCTCCCTTTGGCTATTCTTCAGATATGTTTGGTAGTGATTCTTACGCGTCTTCTTGGTTTGCTTCTCCGACCGCTTAGACAACCTCGAGTCATTGCTGAGATTGTCGTAAGTAATCTTTCTTTTTCATTAAAAATCATTTTTTATGGGTTAATTTTAGTATTTAATATTTAATAGATTGTATTAGGTCGATCATCTTTTAGACTCCGAGTTATTTATTTAAATTTTTATTTTTAATTAAAAAAATGATAGTGTGTAAATATTTATTTGTTTTTAAATATTAATATATTTTTAAAAATTATTTTTGTGAATTGGAAAATAAATAATATATATATAATTGTATCTTAATAGAAAATATAATTTTTAAAATTAAAATTCGAATTGGGACTAGTTTCAAGATTAACTTCTCAATTTAATTTATTAATTTAAATATTTATTTTTATAATTTTTGAGGAATATCAATATTTACTGTGATTGAACAGCTGAGTTGTTAATGTTTTCAGGGCGGAATATTGCTGGGACCGTCGGCGGTAGGGCGGAGCCAAGAATTCCTACACAGAGTATTTCCGGCGAAAAGCTTATCGGTTTTGGACACGTTGGCAAATTTGGGTCTTTTGTTCTTCCTTTTTCTGGTGGGGTTGGAGTTAGATCCCAACTCCCTCCGCCGTACCGGAAAGGGTGCAATGTCTATAGCCGCCGCCGGAATCACCCTCCCTTTCATCCTCGGCATTGGCACCTCCTTTGTCCTCCGCTCCACCATCTCCAAAGGCGTCGACGGCCCTCCTTTTCTCGTTTTCATGGGCGTAGCTCTCTCCATTACTGCCTTCCCTGTCCTTGCCCGCATCCTCGCCGAGCTCAAGCTCTTAACCACCAGCGTTGGTCGAATGGCCATGTCCGCCGCCGCCGTTAACGACGTCGCCGCCTGGATCCTCCTCGCCCTTGCCATCGCCCTCTCCGGCACCGGCAACTCCCCTCTCGTTGCCCTCTGGGTCTTCCTCTGTGGCTCTGGTTTTGTCCTGCTCTGCTTCTTCACTCTCCCACCGGTCTTCCGGTGGATATCTCTCCGTTGCGCCGACGGCGAGCCGGTTAGCGAACTCTACATTTGCGCCACTTTATCCACCGTCTTGGCCGCTGGATTCATCACCGATTTAATCGGAATCCATGCTCTGTTCGGGGCTTTCGTCGTCGGCGTCCTCGTCCCAAAAGACGGCCCACTCGCCGGAGCTCTTGTCGAGAAAGTCGAAGATCTCGTCTCGGGGTTATTCCTCCCTCTGTATTTCGTATCAAGTGGATTGAAAACCGACATTACAACAATCAAAGGAGCTCAATCATGGGGTCTTCTCGTACTTGTCGTTGTCACCTCTTGTTTTGGGAAAATCATCGGCACAATATCAGTGGCTCTGCTTTGCAAGATGCCATTCCGTGAATCTCTGGCTTTAGGATTCTTAATGAACACAAAAGGGCTAGTGGAATTGATCGTCCTCAACATTGGGAAAGACAGAAAAGTTTTAAACGAACAGACCTTCGCAATTCTTGTTCTAATGGCGATCATCACAACCTTCATCACTACCCCAATTGTAATGGCGGTTTACAAGCCGGCCAAAAAACAGAGCAAATCCGATTACACGAACAGGACAATCGAGCGCCAGGACACCAATTCTGAGCTGAGGATTTTGGCTTGCTTTCACTCTGTTACCAACATCCCTTCAATTTTGAATCTAATTGAGGTTTCCCGTGGGACGGAGGGGAAAGAAGCCCGTGGTCGGCGGCTTTGCGTTTATGCAATGCATTTAATGGAGCTGACAGAGAGGTCGTCCGCCATTGTTATGGTCCACCGAGCTCGAAAAAATGGCCTACCCTTCTGGAATAAAGGAGGAAAGTCCGATTCCGACCAAATCGTTGTGGCGTTTGAGGCTTTTCAGCAGCTAAGTCGAGTGTCTATTCGTCCAATGACAGCGATATCTCCGTTCTCCAACATGCACGAAGATGTCTGCAACAGCGCCGAGAGGAAACGCGCCGCCATTATCATCCTCCCATTCCACAAACACCAAAGGTTTCGAAATTCCCGTTTTTTTAATGAATCTAGCCGTAAATGACAAGGTTATTGACCCAATTGATAATGAATTGGCAGGTTCGATGGATCTTTGGAGACGACACGAGCTGATTTCCGATGGGTAAATCAAAAAGTGCTGGAGCACCCACCATGCTCTGTCGGGATCTTGGTCGACAGAGGTTTAGGAGGCGGTTCCCATATCTGTGCTAGCAATGTCTCATCCACCATAACCGTCTTCTTCTTCGGCGGGCGAGACGACCGTGAAGCTCTAGCCTACGGTCGGAGAATGGCAGAGCATCCGGGAATAACACTAAACGTGGTTCGCTTCCTTCCCAGCTCCGACATGGGCATGGAATCCACGGTGGTTGACATTGATCAAACAATACTGACGGAGTTCAAGGAGAAGAAATCAGAGGACGAGTCGGTGAGGTATGAGGAGAGGGCGGTGGGGAAAGGCAGCGAGGCGGTTGAAGTAATCAAGGAGTTCAGTCGATGCCATTTGATATTGGTGGGTCAGGCACCGGAAGGGCCAGTCGTGGAGAGCCTCCATTTGAAGATCAATGCCGTGTTCTCGGAGTTGGGTCCCGTCGGCGGCTTGTTGACATCACCGGAGCTCTCGACGGCAGCTTCAGTGTTGGTGGTGCAACAGTTTCGAGGTCCGTTGGTGCCATCTCCGTCGACGTCCACAGTCATGGTCTTGCCGGAAGACGTTGAGTAAATATTTTGAAAATTTTAATTTTAATTGTGTGTAATTTAAATATCTGTATGTATTTCAATTTAATTATGTGGAAGTTAAATGGCAAAGTTTGTTTTCCCAATTGTATATATATAATATCAAAATGGTGTTATTAATTGTTTAATAATTTTAATTAATTTTAAATATAATCCTAAACCTTCCTACTCATCAAATTTCACTCTTTAATTATTTAGTAAATTTATTATGAAATTAGATATTTATGAAATATATTTTATACCATTGTTATAATATATTTTTTTTATAGTTATTAGAATTTTATCCGTATACTTAGTTGGTATTTTGTATCCTAATTTATTGTAACCCTATTTCAACTACCATTAACATTAAAGTTGATGTCAGAGTTCAAGTGATGTTACTCCGTGTAGTGAGCCAGTGAGAATGATAGACTCTTAAAGAGGTGGATTGTGTGATCTCACATCAATTTGAGAGGGGACTAGAGAAATCCCTCAAGTCTTAAAATGTGATCTCACGCTTGAGGTGAAGCTTGGAAGGAAAAGTTCAAAGAGGACTATGGTTACAAATAGTATCAGAGTTAGTTACTGGACAGCGTGAGGCACTGGTCGAAATAGGGTTAGACTCTCTCTATAGTAGACTTATTTTAAAACCTTGAGAAGATAACAAGAGTAAAAACCCAAGTGGATAATATTAGGATCATGTTGAATTAATGTATTTTCCTCCAAAATCTCTCAATTACGCCATAAAATCATATTAAATATTAGGATAAATAAAATGTATAAAAGATTGGTATAAGTTTTTAATTTCCCATAGACAAACTTAACCATACTTGAGTCATTTGCTTTTTTTAAGGTTGACATAACTAACCCTAGTTAAAATTTTAATTTTCTATGATTTTTTTTTTTTTTTTTTTTGAATTCAACATGAATGGAACGGTCAATCTTTCAAATAGTAATTAGTATTTATCTACACAACTAAGCTTCTATTAATTCCTAACGTAAAGGCTATCGATTACGATAGGTTTATTAAAAAGTATTTCTTTTTATTTTTTTAATTAAAAAATGTGTTTACCATCAAAATTCCTATTTTAAATCACGCATAACTTTAAAAATTCTTTTCTATAAAAATGAAAGAATACATGTCACGTATTTCCATCTTTATATGGTATGATTTAAATTTTATGTCAAATATTATTCGCTAATAAATTAATATGTCGGGTCCATATTTAAATAATATTAACAATAATGGAAAATTCACCGATAAAATTAAAGCTTTTTAAAAATCTTTTAACCAAATAAACCCATTCCATAAATAAATAAATAAATAAATATATTAAAAAAAAACTTAAATTTAAATTTAAACCAATCTCTCATGTTTTTATTTTTTTTATTTTTTCTTTATTTATTAATTAAGCCAGCCAACCAATTGGTAATTATGGTAGCCAATTAGACTAAGAATATGCATTTTGATTTTTTTTTAATTAGTTGCCTTTCATTTTCAGAATTTTTTTTTCTGAAAAAAGTTAATTGATATTAAACTTTCAATATTGACGTCATAATTATTTTCTTAAAATATCCGGTTAATTAAAGAAAAAATTCATAAGTTTTTTAATCACAGTAATCACATTTACTTAGGCATACTTATATTTTCAAATTTGGCATTATAAATTATTTTAGTTTCCAATAAGCTTTTAAACTTTTTAATTTTTTTTTTAGATAAAATTTTAAACTAAAAAACTATATGAACACGAAAATAAAAAAATAAAAAATTAAGATAAGATACATAAAATTTTAAATATTTTATAAATTTGATTTAAAAAAGAAAATTGAATGGAAGATATATACAAAATTGATTATATTTGGGAAATAAAATAAAAAATAATTAATGATAAGGGAGAATTGAATAGGAAGGAAATGGATAAGTAAGTAATTATTGTATTTGTTTTGGTTGGGAAAAAAAAAAAATAAATAAAAGAAATAAAAAAGGGGATTGAATTGACCATGTTTTTAACAAATTCTTGACCATAAAATTTGCAATAGTTGCGAAAAAGTTTCTGTAGAGAGAGAAAGGGAGAGAGAAGTAGAAGGCTACAAAACTGGAGCTCCGATTCAGTTTCCTCTCACACAAAGAATTAGTAGAACAAACAGAGGGGCTTGAAGATCTCTGCGGCTAACAATGGCGACCAATGCGACGGTGACCGGTGCTTGTCCGGCGGTCATGAAGGCCACCTCTAATGGCGTCTTCCAAGGCGATAATCCTTTGAATTATGCTCTCCCTCTCGCCATCCTTCAGATTTGTCTCGTCGTCCTCCTCACTCGACTTCTTTCCATTCTTCTCCGCCCCATTCGTCAGCCTCGTGTTATTGCTGAGATTGTCGTATGTTCTTCGCTCTCAAATCATTTTTTTTTTTTTAATTCTCTTATCAGTTTAGATCACATTAATTTTAATTTTAATTATTATTAGTAGAGAGGTTCACCGATCTTATTCTGTTTTGATCTCTAAAATTATTAGTAGAGATGTTATACTCATTATATATTATAATAAATTAGTTTTGGATTGAGAAATATAATATCTAATTATAATTATATTTATTCTTTTAAGTAGATGAAGATTAAATATTTAAAAGGAAAAGAAAAAGAAGAATTTTCATCAAATTTGAGTATGGAATATGTAAAAATGGTTGTTTTTTATCATCATTTGACTGTACTGTTAATGGCGGTGTGCAGGGCGGGATCTTACTGGGTCCGTCGGCGCTGGGCCGGAACGTGAATTACTTGCACACAATCTTTCCGGCGAGGAGTCTCACTGTATTGGACACGTTAGCCAATTTGGGTCTTCTCTTCTTCCTGTTTCTGGTGGGGTTGGAGTTGGACCCAAAAGCTCTCCGCCGCACCGGAAAACGAGCGATGTGCATTGCCTTTGCCGGAATCACTCTCCCGTTTGTCTTTGGCATCGGCACCTCATTTATACTCCGATCAACCATCTCCAAAGGCGTCAATCAAGGCGCACTCCTCGTCTTCATGGGTGTAGCTCTTTCCATCACTGCATTTCCTGTTCTGGCTCGAATTTTGGCTGAGCTTAAGCTTTTAACGACGGATGTTGGCCGGATGGCCATGTCTGCTGCCGCCGTAAATGACGTTGCTGCATGGATTCTTCTAGCATTGGCGATTTCACTCTCCGGCACCGGACACTCCCCTTTGGTTTCCTTATGGGTTTTTCTCTCTGGCTCTGTTTTTGTCGTGATCTGCATCTTCTCTGCTCCACCTCTGTTCCGGTGGATGTCGCAACGCTGCTCCGAAGGCGAGCCGGTGAAGGAGTTGTACATTTGTGCTACTTTGTCTCTGGTTTTGGCGGCTGGGTTCATTACGGATTTGATCGGAATCCATGCCTTGTTCGGAGCTTTCGTCATCGGAGTTTTGGTTCCGAAAGAAGGCCCATTCGCCGTCGCTCTAGTGGAGAAAGTTGAAGATCTCGTGTCGGGTCTTTTTCTTCCATTATACTTCGTTTCCAGTGGGTTGAAAACAGATGTTGCAACAATTCGAGGAGCTCAATCATGGGGTCTTCTCGTTCTAGTCATTTTCAATGCTTGTTTCGGTAAAATCATCGGAACTGTCTCTGTTGCTCTGCTCTGCAAAATGCCATTTAAAGAATCAGTAGCTTTGGGGGTTTTAATGAACACCAAAGGATTGGTGGAATTAATTGTTCTTAACATTGGAAGAGACAGGAAGGTTTTGAATGATCAATCATTTGCGATTATGGTTCTAATGGCGATCTTCACAACGTTCATAACAACCCCTGTTGTTATAGCTGTTTATAAGCCGGAGAAAAAACAGAGCAAATCAAATTACAAACATAGAACACTCGAAAGAGAGAATCCCAATTCTGAGCTTCGAATTCTTGCTTGTTTCCACTCATTTAGCAACATTCCGGCGACGATTAATTTAATCGAGGCATCCCGAGGGATTGAAAAGAAGGAAGGGCTCTGTGTTTATGCTCTGCATTTAATGGAGCTAACAGAGCGATCCTCTGCCATTCTTATGGTTCATAAAGCAAGGAAGAATGGCGTACCCTTTTGGAACAAAGGCCGTGCCGATTCGAACCAGATCGTCGTTGCCTTCGAGGCATTCCGACAGCTCAGCCGTGTTTCAATCCGGCCAATGACCGCCATTTCTGCTCTGTCCAACTTGCATGAAGACATCTGTAACAGCGCCGAGACGAAAAGGGCCGCCATTATTATTCTCCCGTTTCACAAGCATCAAAGATTGGACGGATCATTGGAAACGACAAGGACTGATTACCGGTCGGTCAACCGAAAAGTTCTGGAACTAGCCCCCTGCTCTGTCGGAATTTTGATCGACAGAGGCCTCGGTGGTGGGGCCCACGTCTGCGCTAGTAATGTCTCTTCTACTGTTACCGTGTTTTTCTTCGGCGGTCGTGACGACCGTGAAGCTCTGGCATTTGGGAAAAGAATGTCAGAGCATCCGGGAATCAGCCTACATGTCGTCCGGTTCTCCCCCAGCGCCGATTTCGCGGCGGAATCCGTCACCGTCGATGTAAGAGACAACGGTTCCACCGATTCCGATGCCGATAAAAGGGCATTGGCGTCGATTGTATATGAAGAGAGATACGTGACGAAAGGGAGCCAAGCCGTTGAAGCGATGAAGGAGTTTAATAAATGTAATTTGATTTTGATCGGAAGAATGCCGGAAGGGGAAGTGGTGAGGAGTTTGAATATGAATGTTGTCGAGAGTTCGGAACTTGGGCCGGTCGGCGGCGTGTTGGCGTTGCCGGAGTTTTCGACGATGGCGTCGGTGCTGGTGGTGCAGCAGTTTCATGGTGATTTACAGTTGATGGCGGATTCGAGTTCCAAAGGGGAATCAACCGAGGAAGAACGTTGAAGAAAGAATCCATTTTTAAAAATGGGATTTTGAAATTTATAGATTTTATATTATATTTGATTCCAATCATTTTTGTCTTATTATAGATTTGGGATTTAGGAGAGTTCTTATATGGATTAGATTTGAGTTCATTCTTTATTTGAACTCTGAGAAATAAAAATAAAGTTGTCTCTTTTTCACCACCTGTCTCATTGCCTCATTCAAAATATTTAAATGATTTATGATATCCTTTAATTAACGGAGAGAAATCTCAATTCGTTCGACTACGCCTTTCGACTTGATCTTAGGCCCTGATTCATCTTCTGTAGACGAACCTTGCGGAGGAACCCTTAGATTTTCGGGGCATTGGATTCTCACCAATGTTTGCGTTACTCAAGCCAACATTCTCGCTTCCGCTTTGTCCACCATTACTCGCGCAGGTGCTTCCCTCTAAAGTGGAATGCTCCCCTACCGATGCATTTTTACATTCCACAGCTTCGGCAGATCGCTTAGCCCCGTTCCTCTTCAACGCAAGAGCACTCTTGTGGGAATTTAAATTTTAATTTCTGTCCCTTTTAAATAGATGGAAAAATGAAAATTCTCTACTAAATTCAAAATTTTATTGTGTATTTATTAAACTCATGAATTAACAAATAAATTTAATTTTCCAATTCAACTCAAGCTCAAGCCCACTTGTAGATATTGTCTGTCTACTTTGATCATAGAGAAGTTTCCACATCCATATTTTGTTTCCTTCTCCAACCAATCTGAGATCTCAAGATCCACTAGCCCACCAGCTTTGGATGTCCAACATCTTCGTTGACACACCATTCAGTGTTTGACGTTAGTACCATTTATAACAGTCGAAGTTCACCGTTAACAAATATTGTCTATTTTGGTCAATTACATATTGTCATTAGACTCACGATTTTAAAACGGGTCGATTAGGGAGATGTTAAGAATCAGAAATAGAATGGGATCAAAAGTCCTATGGATCTATAAAGTTCAATTTTCATTAATGTTCATAATTGTTAAACGAGCTACCCCTAAAAATAAATAAAATATAAACTAACTAAATCTTCATAATAATATAAAATATACTATTAATCAAATTGGAAAAAATATTAACTAAATATCTAAGATATATTTCATAACTAATTATTATAATATATTTTAATAGGGGATGATTTCACATTTTTATAAGACATGTTCAACCAAGGTGGGATCTCGTATCAGAATCATGTTATTTATTTAGAATTTTTAGTTCCGACAACAAAAATAAAATAAATAGAAAATTATTTTTAGGACATTTTTTTTTTCAAACAAACAAAATAAAAGGGCTGTGAGGCACGTTCAATTTGCATAAACATCTAATATAATATTTATTTGACTAAATTTTGCTTCTAAATTAAGTCATTTCACGATCCTAGAGATTCATTGAACCTGAAATGAGTTGTTTTTATATGCGGGATCTCATACATATTATGCATGGATCATGAGTTACTTTTTTCAATAGATATGCACGTACACTATTCGACTATGTGAGAGAGCCCCAAATGCAACCCTAGGGTTTATAGGGAAGAGATTTTCGCATAATGGGTTCATATATATGTGCATAGATTGTGTGTGTCGTAATTAAAATTAGAAAAAAAAAGTGAGATCCCACATCGGTTTGAGAGAGGAATATAACATTGTTTGTAAGGGTGGGGAAACCTCTCCCTAGCAGAGGCGGTTTAAAAACCTTGAGGAGAAGTCCAAAAGGAAAATCTCAAAAGAGGACAATATCTGTTAAGGGTAGGATTGAGATTTTACAAATGGTATTAGAGCCAAACATCGGACAGTGTGCCAGTGAGGATGCTTAGTCCCGAAGGGGGAGGATTATGAGATCTCATATCAATTGAAGAGAAGAACGAGTGCCAGCGATAACGATGACACTAGACCCTAAAAGCACTGAAAGCGTAAAAGGTTGAATAATATAGAGATGAAAGGGAGTTGGGAAAGGCAAAGTTCATAATTTATTCCTTCCAAACCAAAGTAGGGATTAATCAAAACAAAAGCCACTTTTGACTTGTTTATTTTGGAAGTGCCATTATTATACTTAATTTTATTCCTACAATTTACCTTTACATTAATATTAATAATATGAAAAATTAATTTCTAATTTGTTCTTAACAAAAGGTGCTAGAGCATAATGAATAGATTGAGCCCACTAAACAAAAAATATTAGTTCAAATTATCATATTCATTTTAGAATTTTGGGTTTTATTCACTAAATTTAAAATTTTTTATTTTTAATTTCTTTTATAGAATTTAGTTAAGTAATAGCCGAAGTGGGGTCTTGATTTGACGCATTATAAGCAATTTAAAGCTCATTTGTATTCTATTACTTGAGGAAGCCGCTATTTTCTGCCGCAGAAATTGAAAACTCCACGGGAATGGAGATTTTGTTCTTGATCTTATGATCAGGTCGGACACTCGCGTACTGGAAGATTGCCATTGTAGTTCGTTTCTTCATCTGTAAGCGTTATTTCCATACTTGTTCCATTAATCCCCTGTTCTGTTTTACAACCTCAATCCAGTAGAAATTCAGTAAATAATCCACGATTGTCTTCGGCCGCCACCAAATTGCATATTAGTTTCATCATTTTGATTTAGAAACGTTTCTGGATATTGAACTTTCTTCTCTGTTTCTTGAATTTTGGTGATTTTGTTTTTCGTTGGATTGTTCTTTGTGGGGTTTGTTTATTTTATTGATTTCTGTTGTTTGGTTCTGGATTTTGTTCTTATTCTTGTTCTTCAAATAGTGATTCCTTTGTATGAACTTTGTGCTATCGCTCTCCTTAGAAATCTTTTGGTGCTGAACTGATGACCTCACATTATAAACCCAAAATGTTAATTATTCCTTCGACGAAAGCAAACTTTTCTGTCCTTTGTTTATACATTTTGTGCGGTTCTTCTTTCTTTTTCTTTAAATATTGTGTGGTTCTGCTTTGATTCTTGTGTAAAGTAGAAATTTGGAGAGTGGCGTTTTCTTTAGTACTAAGTAATTAGGTTGAATTGAGATTAACCCAGCTGGATAATTTCAGTTTCTGTCAAAAATATTGACTTATATGTATATGAGTTTGAGTATGTAGCAGCCTAATACCACCGATAGCAGATATTGTCCGCTTTGGACCGTTACGTATTGCCGTTAGCCTCACGGTTTTAAAACGCGTCTACGAGGGAGAGGTTTCCACACTCTTATAAATGGTGTTTCATTCTCCTCCCCAACCGATGTGAGATATCACAACCCACCCTCCTTCAGGGCCCAGCATCCTTGCTGGCACACCGCCTCATGTCTACCCCCTTCGAGGAACAGCCTCCTCGCTGGCACATCGTCCAGTGTCTGGCTTTTATACCATTTGTAACGGCCTAGGCCCACCGCCGGCAGATATTGTCCGGTTTGGTCTTTCACTTTCGACTTTCCCTCGAGGTTTTTAAAATGCGTCTGGTAGGGAAAGGTTTCCACACTCTTATAAATGGTGTTTCATTCTCCTCCCCAACCGATGTGGGATATCACAGAGCATGACATGTTCTAAAAATGTCTTTATTTGATTAGTCTCTTTGTTTGTGTGTTTGTTTCTATTTTGTTTTTGTTTTTCTGTACAGATCTGGGTCCTCGGTTTGATTGAATCTGTTCACACTGCAGAGGAAGCCTATTTTGAACAGGAACTGAGATTAAAGTAAGCTGTTGTAAATTTTCGGGGGACAGAATGGCTTCAAATGCTACGACAGTAACCAAATGTCCATCTCCAATGAAAGCAACATCAAATGGCATTTTCCAGGGCGATAATCCTCTTGATTTCGCTCTTCCTCTTGTTATTCTACAAATATGTTTGGTAGTTGTTCTTACTCGTGGTCTTGCTTTTCTTCTGAGGCCGTTAAAACAGCCGCGAGTGATCGGAGAAATCATTGTAAGTCTCTTTATTCTTTGGATGCTAATGGTGTTCATTTGGTTCTTTTGAGTGTAATGCTTTTTACTCTTGAATTGAAGTTGAAACTGCTATGAGTTTATTTCGACTGCTAGCGATCGCCCTTCTGAATTACATCTTTTTACTAATTTGATAGGGAGGAATACTTCTAGGACCATCAGCTCTCGGACGTAACAAGAACTTTCTTCATACCATATTTCCATCCAATAGTATCACGTTGTTAGATACCATAGCAAACATTGGATTGTTATTCTTTCTGTTTCTTGTGGGTCTAGAGTTGGATATAAAGTCGATACGTCGTACTGGAAAGAAGGCTCTTGGCATTGCCATTACCGGAATTTGCCTTCCGTTTGCATTAGGAATTGGATCGTCATTTGTTCTTCGAGAAACCATATCCAAAGGTGTAAATGCTTCTGCGTTTCTCATATTCATGGGTGTTGCACTTTCGATAACGGCATTTCCCGTCTTAGCTCGTATTCTTGCCGAGCTTAAACTACTGACAACTGATGTTGGTAGGATGGCTATGTCTGCTGCAGCAGTAAACGATGTAGCTGCCTGGATTCTCCTTGCTCTAGCCATTGCGTTATCTGGTTCTGATAAATCTCCCCTAACTGCAGTTTGGGTCCTTTTATCTGGCTGTGGCTTTGTTATAGCTGCTATTGTCATTTTATCCCCTGTTTTCAAATGGATGACCAAGCAGTGTTTTCAAGGGGAGCCGGTACGTGAAATCTACATATGCGCTACATTGGCTATCGTCCTAGCTGCTGGATTTGCCACGGATTTTATCGGGATACATGCTATGTTTGGAGCTTTTGTTGTCGGAGTATTAGTTCCAAAGGATGGACCATTAGTAGGTGCTTTGGTCGAGAAAATAGAAGATCTTGTTTCTGGTCTATTCCTGCCTCTTTACTTTGTCTCAAGTGGATTGAAGACTAATGTAGCCACAATTCAAGGAGCACAGTCCTGGGGTCTCCTAGTTTTAGTTATCGTTACCGCCTGTTCTGGAAAAATCATCGGCACGTTTCTCGTGTCCATTCTTTGTAAAGTACCCGTTCGTGAGGCTCTTGCATTAGGATTTCTAATGAACACAAAAGGGTTGGTGGAGCTTATTGTTCTCAATATTGGAAAAGACAGAAAGGTAAGGTAGTTTTTCCACTCGTCGAGGACCTTTCTATCGTTGTTTTTCGTTTTTTGGTGTTCTGATTTGCATTTTTGTTTGATTTTTCAGGTTTTGAATGACCAAACCTTTGCTATAATGATTCTAATGGCTCTTTTTACTACTTTCATTACCACTCCCCTTGTCATTGCTGTATACAAACCGGCAAGGAGTGCCAAAATAGCTGATTATAAGCATAGGAAGATTGAAAGGAAAAACAAGAACACACAACTTCGGATTATGACCTGTTTTCATAGTGCAGGAAACATTCCGTCGATTATTAATCTGCTCGAGGTGTCGAGAGGAACCGAGAAGGACAAAGAGCTTTGTGTATATGCAATGCATCTCATGGAGCTGTCCGAGAGGTCCTCGGCCATTTTAATGGTTCACAAGGCGAGGAAAAATGGGTTGCCTTTCTCGATCAAGGGTCGGAGGTCAGATACCAACCATGTTATTGTCGCATTTGAAGCTTACCAACAACTGAGCAGAGTATTCATTCGACCGATGACGGCGATCTCCTCCATGTCTGATATACATGAAGATATTTGTGCCACTGCTGAGAGGAAAAAAACTGCGATCATAATTCTTCCATTTCATAAGCACCAGAGGGTGGATGGTTCACTGGAGACTACTCGAAGCAGCATTCGTGTTGTTAATCAGAATGTACTCGAACATGCTCGATGTTCGGTTGGAATTTTAGTTGATCGTAGTTTGGGTGGAACAACCCATGTTTCATCGAGCCATGTTTCGCTTTTTGTCACTGTTTTATTCTTTGGTGGTGGAGATGATCGCGAAGCGCTTTCTTATGGAATTCGTATGGCTGAGCACCCTGGGATTAGATTGATGGTTATTCGTTTCTTTGTCGAACCCGAACCTTCCGGGGAGATAGTCAGTGCTGATACTGTTGGGAATTCTCCTGTGAAGTCAGTTTCTCAGGATGATGAATTTCTTTCCGAATTCAAGCACGATGCGTGCAAGAACGATTCCATCATATATGTCGAGAAAACCATAAGAAGTGCTACAGAAGTAATGGATACAGTGCAGGAGATGAAAAATTGCAATCTGTATCTCGTTGGCCGAACACCAGATGTCAAAGCGATGTATATCTTAAACAGAAGTGACTGTCCAGAGCTCGGTCCAGTCGGGAACCTGTTGACTTCCCCAAATTTCCCGATTTTGGCGTCGGTTTTGGTGGTGCAGCAATATCGTTCCGAGTCGCTGGTGAATTCAGCTTCAGATTCTGGTGGTGGAGAAACAGAATCAGCATAGTGTGTGCTTCTTGCTTTTATAGTCCAGTGGTGGGTTGATTTAGTTGCACATAGGAGAGCTGAGAGCAGCATCTTTGTGAACCACAGCGTTAGATTTCCAAATTCCCTTTCTTTTTGTGTTAGTCTCAAACATGTCAAAGTGTTACCTAAAGCTGCAGATATACCAGACCTTTTGTTTCTTGGTTTGACTTTTAGTTTCTGAATCTGAACAAGTCTATTCGGTTCGTGAGCCGAGACCTCGGATTGAACCGAACCAACCCATTTCGTTCTTAAAAGAAAGCCTAGCGGCTTAACTTATCCTTGACTAGGTTTGGACATTTACATCTTGTTTTGTGTAACACTCCAAGCCCACCATTAGTAGATATTTTTTGTTTTGGCCTGTTACATATCGTTGTTAGCTTCACGATTTTAAAACGCGTTTGGTAAGAAGAGATTTTCAAATTTCTATAACAAAAATGCTTCAATCCTCTCTTCAATCGATGTGGGATCTCATATTTTGCTTCCGTGCTTCTATCTACACTCAATTGTGTCACTCTCACTATTGCATCTCGTCTCACTTTGGCATCACATCAACAACGATACTATTAGTCCAATTGACCAATGACTTCACTCTTGCTAACATGAGCGACTATTCATATACAACCACGAGTTTAGGGTTAGGTCTAAAATGTTCTTAAACCCAACCTAACTCAAACTACGAGTACCCATAGTACCCATAACTTTTATCGATTATTTCTTTGTATATAATCATAGTCTTTAAATTAACAAATAAAAGAAATGGATTCCTTAAAAATATTAATAGTTAAATCATAGACGTCAAAATCTCCAACTATTAGTTAATTTATTATCAAAGAATCATTTTAATCCTCAATTTCAATGATTTTCATTTCTCAAAATAAAAATATTTATTTATTTTGGAGAACTCGATTTCATATATAAATATATAGTTCAATTTACAATATATATAAAACTATCTCCCATATACCGCTTTAATTACTATTATAACTATTGAGTAAGCTATCAACAAGTAGTAAACTCCATGACCTAACAACATTGACAGAAGGTTTTTCATTTCTCTTGTAGATCAGATCCGAACAAGAAAAATAGACCAACAGTCGGTGACATGGGCCTCGACCTCCCTTCGTAAAGGCCATAAGCTTAATCATTATATTTAAAAGAAAATAATTGGGTGAATTAAAAAGACAAAGAAATGTTTAAAAAGTGGGAAAGTGAGGGATTGAACCCAACTTCTCACCTACCATGATTTGAACAAATATATGAATGGTAGAGTTAGGCTTAGGCATCCACCCACCAATTGGAAAATCAATTCCTAATTTACCTACTCTTCACCTATCTTCCAATTATATTTTCAATTTAACTGTCTTTTTTATTTTAAATAATATAAATTACAAATATAAATGTCCACCGAGTGGACGGGAACCGAGTAGGAGAAGCCTTCCCCATCCCCATCTCTATGAAGCAGGGTGAAGCGATGAAGAATGCATGCAGATTGAGTTCCCCGAGAAATTTTTTTCATTTTTTAAAATAAAAATTATATAGTAATAATTTTAATTTAAATAGTACGATTACAGTCTCAAATATTGTAGTATATAAATAATAATATTTATAAAAATTTTCAAACTTCTATTTATTTAACCGGGAAAAATCTCTCCCACTGGCTCTCTCATTTCCATGGACATCTCTAAATACATTTAACTTTTAAATTTGTTAATAAACATTTTAATAACTAGTCGGTTTAAATAATTGAATCGTTGAATGGATTGCTTAACTAGAAAGGCGTGTTAAGGTCAATGTATTAATAATTAATAAAAACAAGTCAAAGATGCTTAATTTCCCTCCACTTTAGTCATTAAAATGCAATTTACTATATCATTAAATTAATAATTTAAAATTTTTCCGTATGAAATAAATATACGGTAAAAGACTGAGAGTAAAAAAATTGAAACTAAAATATTATTCTGTAACGTTCATAACAAACACATTTCTAGCTCACTTTATTGTCAAGATCTAGCATAAAAATCTTTGAAAAAGTACACCGAACGGTCTGAAGACCAATATATTTATGATCAAGTAAGATCAGAACGCATGCATTATGGTATTAAGAAAATTTTAACAATCAAAATTGGAGATGATAATGCAGTTTCATATATGCACCATGAATGATTTACGTTGAACAAGCATCGATGAAAATTCTTAGTTTCAGAGTTAGAATTTTGATGCAGTTATGTATGTGTTGAAAGTGACTCGATAACATGTAACGAAGTACCGGGAATGCTCGATGGGAGTAGGTAGGAGTGAAAACTCTAAAGAAGCAAAGTCCAATAAGCAAACCCCATTGATGTTTTGAATTGCATACCCATTTTTGTTGGTTATATAAAGCCATGAATGAGCAAAGAATACTCACTCCACTTCACTTAAGAGGAAGAACACAAAAAAGCTTCAATGGCTTCCTCAGCAAAGAATTGCATAATTCTTCTAGCTTTGTTCTTGTTCTCCATTTCTTCCTCCTCAGCCTTCCCATGGGGAAAGAAGCAAAAACCCAAGCCTTGTAAGGAGCTTGTTCTTTACTTCCATGACATTATTTACAATGGAAAGAATGCAGGCAATGCCACTTCCGCCATTGTTGCAGCCCCACATGGTGCAAACTTGACCATTTTGGCGCCCCAATTTCACTTCGGAAACATAGCTGTTTTTGACGACCCCATTACTTTGGACAACAACCTTCACTCCAAGCCAGTGGGTCGAGCTCAAGGGCTTTACATTTATGACACCAAAAATACCTTCACGGCTTGGCTTGGTTTCTCATTTTCTTTGAACTACACGGCCTATAAAGGCACCATCAACTTCATTGGAGCTGACCCAATTTTGGTGAAGGCTAGGGATATCTCCGTCGTCGGCGGTACCGGAGACTTCTTCATGCACCGTGGTGTTGCTACCATTGTGACTGATGCTTTCGAAGGAGAGGTCTACTTTCGGCTCCGTGTTGATATTAAATTCTATGAGTGCTGGTGATTTTGAGCTGATATTATTCGCTTTGGTTTTGTTCTTTCTATCCTCGTATTTATGTATGATGTAATGTTCTTGAAAAAGAAAATGTTTTTGGATGAAGTTTCGACTATTGCCAAATGACTGGTTCAATAAAAGTTGTGATAGAAAGATATTGAAAGATTGTTGTTGTGTTATTAGTTATATACTTAACTATTTAAGGACTAACAAAAAGTGGGCTAAGAACTAAAGATTACTTGTTAGGGCTGTAACCTTTGAAAAAATTAAGTTTTCGCCTTCAAACGTTAAATTCTTAATCCAATAAGTCTACCTCGTAAACTTGATCTTCGTATTTAAGAATTATGTGAAGCTCATTTTAGACAAGTTGACGGATTTTAGTAACAGATATTCAAGTGATCGCTCATTTTAGACAAGTTGACGGATTTTAGTAACAGATATTCAAATGATCGAACTATGTTAGAAACTATTAGGCACACAACAAAAAATAAAAAATTTAAAATGACTTAAAAAAATCAAGACCTCTCATCTTACAAAATACATCTTCATAGTAAATAATATTACATTTTTGTTAATTGTTGAAGAGGTAAAGAAAAACCGCTAATAATCTCCATTCATTCTTCATTACAAGTAAGCAAATCACTAGTCTAGCATGTACATAAACATTACATGATTAAGAAGAAAAGTTTCTTTTGGCTTGAAATCAACCATTAAGAAGCTCACCTAAAAAAGCTACTCCAAAGCGTTCGTCCACGTATGATATAAATAACTTCACGAGTATACAACATATTGATTGGTAATGGTAAACTACACGTCGATGGAGAATGGGTTTGGTTGCCCCAACGCTTTACTAACTCGTATCAGTAAAAATGCATCTACAGAAGTTGAAGATTCAAAACTTTAGATCACCAAAATGCAAGCTGCTGTTTAAGATGATGGAGGAGTTAGTAGGCTTCTAGGGACAAGGCAGGGCAATAACATTCAACCTTTGGCTTTGATTAGGGAGGAGGAGGAATGTTTGGCTTCAATGCATATGCTAGCCAGATCAATGGTAATCATGAGGTATGAAAATTTTACTGTATAATCAAAAGAATATTTCTTGAGTCTCCATTGGGGACGACCAGTAACGCAAGAGTGATTCCACAGTGAGTCGTCGAGTTGCACTGAGCACTGAGATGAAAAATCGACAACCATCGATCTTGTATTCCTCTAGAGGATTCCTGTGCCCAAAGCTTCTTACATTTACCTGTCAAAATGTTCCACGTAAAACTAGGCTCAACTAAAAAGATGTAGAGAGAAAGAAAAAGGAGCAAAAAGTTGTGAATATACCGCAGAACTGAGTCTGTTCATGTTTATGAGATGATCCCTCCAGAAACAATCTAGAGTCTTCACAAGAACAGCTCTCTGCGTTCAAACAAAAATTCACAGGCATAAGAAAAGGAAGAGCTGAAATTTAATAGAACATTCAGTATCATTTAATTAGATGACATGATTTTAAGAGACTTTCACTTGTTAACGTTAGTCCATTATCCACTGCCACGGAAGTGTTTTTGTCCCAAATGAAAAAAAGCCTTTTACACGGAAAGGAATCAAGAGGTGCACAAAAACTATTGCATGGGTTGATGTATTGTAATGGCCTAAGCCCACCGCTAGCAAATATTGTCCTCTTTGGACTTTTCCTTTCGAACTTTCCCTCAAGGTTTTTAGAACGCGTGCTAGGGAGAGCTATCCACACCGTTGTAAAGAATGCTTCGTTCTCCTCCTCAACCAATGTGGGATTTCACAATTCACCCCCTTTCAGGGCCTAACGTCCTCGCTGGCACTCGTTCCCTTCTCCCATTGATGTGAGACCCCCTAATCTACCCCCCTTCAGGGCCCAACGTCCTTGCTGGCACACCGCCTCGTGTCCACCCCCTTCGGGGATCAGCCTCCTCGCTGGCTCTAATACCATTTGTAACAGCCCAAGTCCACCGCCAATAGATATCGTCCTCTTTAGGCTTTCCCTTTCGGGCTTTCCCTCAAGGTTTTTAAAACGGGTCTGCTAGGGAGAGGTTTCCACACCCTTATAAAGAATGCTTCGTTCTCCTCTCCAACCGATATCAGCCAGAGAGTAATGCAAACACACTACAACTCTCTCCTCCCAAGCCTGGTGAATTCAAAAAAAAAAAATAGCTTGTGTACTCCCCCTTCTGGCTTGACCCCTTTATTGTGAAGCTCTCCTTTGTATTTCACTTCCTTGATTAAAGCTTTTTTTTTTTTAAATTAATAAAAGGAAAAAAAAAAAACCCTTAAATCAAGTA